AAAAAATTGGGCCCTCCTTTAAACAAAAAAAACTTACTTGAACAACTGCTACCGTAGTCTCCTTAGCTTCGAATCCTATTCTTATCCTAACTGCTGGCTCCACAATAACCACAAACTTATCAGAAGGCATTTCCATGACCACTGATAACCCGTAGCTGACATCTTGCTCCAGTTTTTCTGGAACATCTGCAGCGCGGATGTTCGTCTGAATCCTGACGATCTGCATTTTCTGCTGAAAATTGCAAATTGATGTAGAGAATTGTACGGTTTCGCAACATTAGTGAATATATACACATTTTGCCGCTCGACAAACTAAAAAAGGCTCTCCTTGTCTCTGTTCGGTCAGCTGAGAAAACATTTCTCTCGGAGAAGAAAGACTAGCACTTGACAACACAAGAACACACAAAACTCCATTTTTCAATGTTTTTTCGGGAAAAAAAAACGAAAAACGACATGGAAGACAACAAAAGAGGAAAACAATTAGGTTGGGAGGAAGAGTTTGACCTTGGAAAAGGATGAACAAATTAGGGGAGATGATTGGAATCGGGTTAGGGTTATGGTATGAAGGAGAAAAGGGTGAAGATCAGGAAGTAGGGGTGGACTCGTCAGGATCAATTATATTGAAGAATCCAGTAGAAGCTGGAGTACCTGTGCCGCGTAATGAATAAAAATTACCGTAAACACTCTAATAGAGTTTCACCAAACTGCCAATTTTGAGCCCATATATTTCCACTTCTGTGAAAGGCATCAAAAAGTCGTCAACGGACAAAATGTTAATTATCATATCAAGAACATTTTATCAATTGACAACATTTTGATATTTTTCACATGAACGTATATGATCTCAAAGCTTTATGTTCGGGCGGTACTCTGTTAGAGTGTTTAAGGTATATTGACAGATCCAATAGAAGCTTAAGTCTGGCACACCTACGACGCGTATTGAATACAAATGAATTCAGCTTTTTGATATTCAAAAGTAAGCGAAATGCGTTCCTCCTATATGGAAGTATTCTGAAAAATCTTCCGCATAGTAGATCCTCAAGAATGTCAGATTTGTGGGATAATCCTCCAGGAGACCGCAAAAATAATAGAATCTGTAAATATGATAACATCACTAGGGGTTGGTTACTTTCTTTCGATGATTGTGGTTTCATACGATTCTCTAACGTAAACCAATTAATTTCAAAGTTACCGTATTTCCTCTGATAGAATCCTACCCAAACTTTAAGCTCAATTATCTCGATTCATGTGAAAGGTATCAAAACATTTTCAAATTATAAAATATATATATCATAATATGAACATTGTTTTATCAATTGGCAAAATTTTAGTATCTTTCACAGGAATCGATGTAATTGAGCTCGAAGTTTGGGTGGGATTCTATTAGAGGAAATACAGTACCTTTATCCTGTTTCCCATTTTTTAATTCTCACACTTCCTCATTCCTGTTTTGTTTCAGCAGTTATTCCTCTTGCATCCAAATCAATCGCTATTTTTGGTACCATATTCTGTTTTAAAAGGCTCATAGTTGTTCCAAACACTTCTGTCCCCAAAGAACGACAAATGTCCAATTCTTGGTCTATCGGTTCTCAAAAATAGAGATGTAACTAGCTAGCTAACTGCTAGATTTACTGAACACTGAAGTTATCTTCAAAGATCAAACTCTCAAAACACAATTGTTCCAAACAACTGCTCTTTTTCTCGAACATTCCATCCATTCGTGACTCAACATTTCGAACTTTCTCTGTCTTCCTAAAGTACCGCTGACACATCACGTGGTGTGGGTTCCCCCATAGCTTTTCTAGATGACGACAAGTATCACGTTGTCTCCATTATGCCGTCTCCCAGACCACGTGTTTCTTCTCCTCCCAGTGCAGTCTGTCCTTTTCCTTTGTATATATTCATGATGAAAAGAGAGAGACAGCGAATTAGAAATAGTAACACGAAAAGAGAGATTCCGGGTTAACATGGAGACGCAGATTGAAAAAGGATGCAGCTGCGGCTAGTGCAAGATGTTGGGGTTGAAACGAAACGGGACGAATGTGGCGTGATCCACTCGCCCATGTTCTGTGATGACCCGAAATATTGGGCGAAACAGAGAGGAATTAGAGAAAGAAAGAAAGTGAGAAACTTTCTGTTCATCTTTTGTCAGTTATCTCGCTTATCACATAGTTTTCACTTAACTTTCTGGTTTTTGACACTCTTTCTCTACGAAAATTTTGATTTGACCCAATTGAGCTAGATACTCCATTTGAGCGAGCATACATATTCCTCATTATAATTTTAGACCTCTTTCTATCTTTTTCTCTTCTTTCTTTTTTATACTTTTTAATATAAAATGTGGAATATCTTTTTTCCAGAATGTCCACCACAAGTACACTTATCTATCGATCAACACTACCCATCCTCCGTCGACGTTCACGTTCTGTCGATGTTCTCTCCAGCACCACAGAACGCCCATTTTTCAGCAGTTCCAATTCACAAGGTATTCAATAACTTCAAATTGAACATTTTCTATGAATCATAGTATTTCAGGGGGAGCGAGTACACCACCAGGAGCATCCGCGAGTCCATCAGGAGCCACAGCTGCAGTTCCAACGAGTTATGCCTACATTTCGGATATGTTCAAGAGTTTTGTGTCGAAAGTAGAGGCAAGTTGAATTTTTAAAAAATCGAATAAAAATAGAATAGGATTTCTAGAATCCACTGAACTATTTGAGCGTCGGAACATCGAAAGCGATAGCCAAGGAAACTGTTAAAGTGGAATCAAAGACACAGTGAGTGTTTTAAATTGTCAAAAAATTCTCAGTCATTAAAAAACAAAAAGAAAAATACCTTAAAACCTGTAATAGATGGCCCACACACTGTCAAATTTGAGCTCAATTATCTCGATTCCTATAAAAGATGGTCAACTGATAAAATGTTTGTGATAACTTGATAAACATTTTGTTAGTTAACAGCTTTTCCATAATTTTGAGAGAAACCGAAATAAATTGGCTCAAAGTTAAAAGTTAAGGGAACCTCCTGATAAAGATTTCAGTATCTTGTTAAATAGGGTAACAGGGAGCCCTTCTATTACAGTTATAACGGTAAATTAAAAAATCTAAAAGATAAAAAATTACTTTCAGAATCATTCAAAAATCCAACGAAAATCGTGTATCCCGATCAGAAGTGACTGCCAAGACACGAGCTCTTGTCAAGAAAATCCTGATATCCGAAACCGCGACGTCTCGATTGACACGAGTTCGAGACCTCTCCGAACACATTATGGCATTCCCACCGACACGGATTGTTGCCGCTCAGGAGCAACGTCTGGTTGCCGAGCTGTTGGAAATGGTGATATACGGAACGAGTGATCAGTTGAAAGAAGAAGCGAGACAGTGTCTCACACTTATTGGAGTTCAGCCACCACCCAAAGGAAGAGGTGAGATTTTATTCAAAACTGGGTCCAATCCCAAATGAAATGGTTTCAGGAGTCAATGTTTTGTCGATCGATGGAGGTGGAACACGTGGAATGATGGGACTTGAGGTTTTGGAAAAAATTGAGAAGTTGTCTGGAAAAAAGGTGAGAATCTGAAGTGGGATTACTGTAGTTTAGAAAACGAAGAACGGATTCCTTTTGCTCAACCAAAAAATGAAATTTCTGTGAATTCGAAAATTCCCTTTTTTTCAAAATTTCTCAACACTTTTTTTCAAAAATTGCTCTTTCTTTTGAACATTTCAATTCGCTCAATTTTCATCAAAAACTCTATTTTGGACTGTCTGAAAATTTCAGTGTTTTTATTTCTGAAAAATTGTTTCCATTTTTTTCCAATCCCACGTGACTGTAACAGACTGTCAACCCAAAAATAACTTCCCGATAGGAAAGACAAAAGAATGCGAGTTGTTTTGATAAAAAGACAAATTTCCAGATCTGTGAAATCTTCGACATGATCTGCGGAGTCTCAACTGGAAGCATCATTGCCGCCTTGCTCACAGTCAAAGGTTATTCCGTGGCAGAGTGTCGAGAAGCTTATATGGACGTTTCGAAGAAGCTTTTCACACAAGGAAAATTCCAAGGAGGAATGGGACTGATTCTGCAGCACTCGTACTACAACACAAATCTATGGGTCAGCATTCTGAAGAAAATGATTGGAGAGGAAGTGACCATGATCAATACTTCGAAAAAATTGCATACTCCACGATTGGCCATTATTTCTTCTATCGTTAATTTACCTACGATACAGCCTTACGTCTTCCGAAACTACGACCATCCAGCTGGACGTGATTCTCACTATCGAGGTGGCACCGATCACTGCCTCTGGACTGCAATTCAAGCATCTGCGGCGGCTCCTCTCTATTTCTCAGAAGTCAAGTTAGACAATCTTCTGCTTCAAGACGGAGGAGTCTATGCGAACAACCCAACTGCCATTGCCTATCACGAAACTAAACTCCTGTGGCCGAATGAGCCAATAAATTGTGTGGTGTCGGTGGGAAATGGACGGACTGTGACGTCTGTGGAGCCAACACCTACCGTATTCTCCACATCATTCCAAGACAAACTTCTCCGAATTATTGACAGTGCTACTGACACAGAAGGAGTTCATATGAATGTACACGATATGCTTCCAGAATCCGTCTATTATCGTTTCAACCCATACATGACTTACGCTTATGGACTTGATGAAATCGACCAGGAGAGACTGGAACAGATGGCTAGTGATGCTGCATTTTATGTGAGACGAAATTCCAGTAAATTGGAATCGGCTACGGAGAGATTGTGTCTGAGACCCAATGTTCAACAACGCGTTCATCGTAGTGTAAAGGAGTGGATGGATCTCAAAGGGTTCTATAAACCAGCCTAATCTTTCTCTCTATAAAATTTCTTTTCAATCTCCTTCTTTTTTGTATTATTTGTACATTTCGCGACCCATTGATCCCATTACTCATTTTTGTACTGTACATTTTTTTTTGTTTTTGTCAGAGGTCCAATTCTGGCTTCTCTGTTGTACTTTCTTCTAGGCGCTCATCGATTTTCTCCTTCTTTACCGTTTTTTTCTCTTCAAGACACCGTTGTATTCCATTTAATGTTCCCAGTTGTTTTCTTTTTTTTTCACCAAAGGTTAAGCACATTTAATGAATGATAATTTTACTCTTTCTCAAAACCCCATTTAAATACATGAGAAAAGATACAACATATTATGGAATATTATGGAATTCGACGAATCCCAAGAAAAAAGTCAAGATGGCTCACAACAATTCTTTCCCTAATTCTGTTTTGAATTCTTAGAATTCTCCCAAAAGGCACCCAAATTGTCTGAACTTTAGCGCAATTTTTCAAGATAGTCTTTCATGCAAAAGGGTGTTTCAGCCCAAGCCTAAAATTGGAAAATGAATATTCTCGAAAAAAAAATTTCAGAGAAAACATTTGGAATTTTGCTGATATTTGGGAATTTCAGTACTTATTTAACTGTGATTTTTTTAGAATATTCAGTTTTTATTTAAAATTATATGCTTAGACTGGAACGGATTGTTTTCCTTCCACTGGGAACACCGAGAACCCGAAAAAAATTCCAAAATTTCGGTGGCCTCTCCAACTAACATAAATTTCCATTCTTTAATGATAAAGAACCAAGTAGGAGGTGTCAGAAATTGGTAAAAAAAACATTCCTGAATGCCAAAAAAACCACATTTCAGTATGGAGCTCTTTATCATATAATATGGTTCCAATAGCAGAGAAAGAGGGGGTTGCTGAAAAACGGACCACCGGCGGGGCGGTGACTGCCGAAAAGGGAACAACACGTTGCGCCTCGAAAATATACCGTCTAAAAGTGTAGTTCATTTTCGACAGTTGATCAATAAAAAGCTATTGCAATACAGATATTCTTCATTCTACTAAAAGTTTCTGTCTTTTTTACGTTTTTCCAAGGGTTTCAATTATGAGCTACGAACGCTCAAAAATGCCTTGAACACTCGCAACATGATTATGAGCAGTCTCAATTTAGTTAAATCTGACAAGTTCCTAGTTTCTAGTTTGAGTTCTTCGTTTGAAAAAATTTCTGGAAAAGAAAGGTATTCGCTTGCATTTCAGAAATTGTTGTTTTTCATTTAACAGTTCTTGGGTTGATCGTTTTATGATTTTGTTCCAGTTCACTCATGAAAGCTCTAATGCTTTTACAGCTAGATCATCCTGAAATACTGATCCTAATCTTTTAAGACACTTAGATCACTCTCATACAAATAATAAGCCAACCCGGAGGTAAACGAATCGAATTTATTCCAAAAATATACAAAAAAGGATTTGTTTACTTTCTTCTGGTTCCGTCCTCGAAGAAAACTCCTCCATCGATAGCGCAATACTTTGGACAAATTCCCTTCTCTCCAGCTCCTCCGTCTTGTCCTGGCTGTCCTGGTGCTCCTGGATTTCCATCGGCTCCTGGCTGTCCTGGTGCTCCAGATGGTCCCTTTTGTCCTGGTGCTCCTGGCTGTCCTGGTCCTCCTGGTGCTCCTGGAGATCCGGCTGGTCCTGGTGGTCCTTGTGGTCCGGCTGGTCCTGGTGCTCCTGGGGTCGACTCGGATTGAGCATCAGCTCCTGGCTGTCCTGGAGCTCCGGCTTGTCCTGGGTTTCCTGGGGCTCCTGGTGCTCCCTTTGGTCCTGCTGGTCCTGGTGCTCCGGCTCCCGATCCTTGTCCTGGGGCTCCTGGAGCTCCGGCATCTCCTTGTGGTCCTGGTGCTCCTGGAGCTCCAGCTGGTCCTTGTGGGCATGGTTTGCATGGTGGTGGAGTGATTGGCTCGCATGGTTGTGCTGGTGGGCGTCCTGGGTTTCCTGGAAGTCCAGCTGCTCCTGGACGTCCTGGTCTTCCTGGCTTTCCTGGAGTTCCGGCTGGTCCGGCGGCTCCTGGAAGGCAGCATCCGGAGCATGATCCTCCTTGGGATTCTTGTCCTCCCTCAACAACCTCTTCATCAGCTCCATATCCAGCTTGACGGGCGAAACGAGAAGCGTTCTTTGGATTGGCACGGATATGGTTCACTTCAGCGAAGATATCGCGAGCAGAGTGCTTGCAGAATCTGATGTCATGATTGATTTGGGTCTTGATTCCATCAACGTAGTTGTATACCAATGGAAGAGTGATGCACAGCTAGAAATCCGAATTTAAGTCTCTCTATGGTCAATTGAATAGTTTCTTACCGAGAAAACGGCGACCACTGAGAAAGTGACAGCCGAATAGGCAACGAATCTATAAGCTTGAAGGCGTTGTTTCTCGTCCATTTCTGAATGATGTTCTTCTCAGCTTCAACCTGTTCTTTTATACAAATTTGGATATGTGTAAGGTCTGAGTGTAATGAGGAACAAAAAATGAAAGAAGGAAGAGAGAGATGAAGGACAATTTTACAATGAAGGACATTTGCAAAATATGCGTTTGTGTGAAAACAAAGCAATATAGGAAGTGTTGAGTGAACTGATCGGCTGAAATATTCTTAGCAGAAGTCAGATAAATATAAGTTTGTCAACTAACAAAATATTTACCATAACAACACAATTATATTATCAGTTTAAGATATTTTGTCTCTTTTACAGATATCAAGATAATTGAGCTCGAAGTCAGGTTGGGTGGGATTCTATTAGATGTAATACGGTAGTTGATGTGTTCAAGAATATTGTACTCCCGAATTGTGGATTTATTACCCCAATGACCCTGAAATTGTTGTAATCTCCGAATCATTAGTATTGATGTTTCAGTTGACGACTTCAGTCCAAATCAATTGAGAAGCTCAATTACCGTATTTCCTCTAATAGAAGCCCATGTGCTTCTATTTTTCAATGATTTATTTTCAAAAAAAAATTATATTCAAAAATTCAGAAATTTGACAATTCAAGTTAAGAATTGTGTAATTCAGTTTTTTTGGAAAATCGGAATTTTTCATTCTGCAATTCTAAATTTCAAAATTGAGAATTTATAAAATTCTGAGATTCCAGGATTTCAAAATTCAAAATTCAGGAATTCTGAAATTCCGGGAAAAAAATTCTAAAATCCTAAAAATCTGAAATTCCGAAATATAGAAATTAGAATATTTAGAAATCGTCGAGTTCTGAAATTACAGTATTGAAAATTCGGGAATTTTGAATTACCATATTTTTTCTAGAAGAAGCCCGCCGGCTCCTATTTTTCGATGCACCTAGCGGGGTAGCCTTCTATTAGAGGAGACAAGGAAAGTTAAAATTTTGCAGTTCCGATTTGTTGTATACAAACTGCAAATATCATTTGAAAAGGAAAACAGAGAGATCTCATTGGAGAGTCATGACTTGCAATTTTCTGATAACTCTTCCTGATGACTTGAAAAATTTTTAGTATAAAGTGGACACAAAAACTTTAATGACATATCTAACTGTGTTGAAAAGTATAGATTCACGTATGAACAAAGTACTTTATTGCCTAACACAATAGATTGAGGATTCAGAATATTTTCAGATATCACGAAGATTTATGAATCCGAGAAAAAAAAACTGTTTCAAAACGTTCAGTTTAAGATGGTTCATTGAGAAAATGTGTTAGACGATCATAAGTAATAAATACTAAAAAAAAAATCAAAACCCGGAAAAAAATGAGAACAAAAAAATAAGAATTGTTATAACTTGTCTGAAAATGATCTGAACTGATTCAACTCTTTAGAGAAACTTAATGTACTTTACAAGTTGTTAAACAGAGTAATTGCAAAAAATCACATAACGAAACATAACTTTTTTTCAGAAAATCACAAGATCATCCTTGCCATAAATTCTCTAATCGAAGCGCAGCCTATACGTTCACTTTGAACTCAATTATCTTGGTTCTTTTGAAAGATATCAAAAAGTTGCCAACTGATAAAATGTTTATCATGATATCACTAGTATTTTAACAATTGACAAAGTTTTGATATCTCTCACAGGAACCGAGAAAATTTAGCTCAAAATGTACTATGGGCTTGTACTAGAGCATTTACGGTATATCAATGCCTTCATTATTTCTTCACCTACAGTATCCTCTTACACTTTCTCTTATTTTTCGAAGTTCCTACCACTACCACCTTCATCTTTTCTCCTTCTTCTTCTTCTTGCTCCTTACCTCTTCCTCGTTTTCCTCCCACCCAAACACGAAGCCACGCCCACTTTTTCCACTGCTCACACACAATTTCATTTTGAAGAAAATAGAAGGCTCCGCCCCGTTTTGCTGCCGGAGAGAGAAAACGAAAAACCACTCTCTTATTTTTTCTATTTCTCTCTCCCTTGGTATTTTTTCTTTTTTTTTCCGGGTTCTGATCTTTTTCCCACGTTCCAAATTTGACGAATTTCTTCTTCTAGAAGACGTTGTCCACCGTCGTTGTCATCGGAATCCAGGCGTCGCCGCGATTCCGACGACATCTAAGCAACATTGCTTAGCCGCCCTGGATGCGGTCGGGCGGCCGAAAAAGAAGAGGGCACCGAAGAATTTCAGAAGAACTCACCACGAGATGCCGTCTTTTCACACTTCTCACTTGCATTTTTTTAATCATTCAGGTTTGTTGTTTTCTGGAATTTTTCTAAAAATTCCAAATTTTCAGCCAACGTCCAGTCTAACATGCCTAACCTGTATGTACACATCTTCCACAACTCAACTAGACAACTTCCGTGTATCAACTCGTCTGTCTCGTCCCCAATGCTCCATGGAACCCATAAAGTGCGATCGCGATCAAGACGTCTGTGTCACGATCACAATGCATGTTGGTAAGGATTTAAAGAATCGTGACAAAAAAAAACACCGTATTTTTTATTATATGCAAATATAAAGCGCTCTATATGGCGCATGGAAAAATTCGAGTAAAACAAAAACAGAACATAGAAAAAACGGAAGAACAACAAGTATTAACATAAAAATTGGAATTTTCTTCATGGCATTGTTGTCGGACCAGAAATTGTGATGCTGAGGACTAGTAGAACATCTGAAAAATGTTTTTTAAAATTTTTTCATGCTTGCAGGCGGCGGAGACTACTGGATGGGTGCTGGCTGCGATCGACGTGTAAATTTTCAGCACATGAGTTGCCAAAACGTTCGGACAATGTCTCGAAACGTTCAACTAGGTTTGTTTGATTTAAAGCTTTCATTTTGGTCGGTCGAAAAAGGCTACCGCTGACCGAATTCCATCATTTGTGCGTCAACGTGCTAGAGATTTAAGAAATGCATCGTTCGTCGAAAAAAAGGATGCTGCGTACGCAAACACTCTCTGAAATATTGACGCGCAAATGCAAGAATTCGGTCGGCGGTCGGCCGGCAATGAAAGCCTCACCTAGGAACCATAGAATCTCAAAAGACCAAGAATTCAGGATACGTACAAGAGCGTCGAGCTATGCAACGTGTCTGTGTATGCGCTCGTGATCTATGCAACCATCAATCGACACCGTTTCAAAAATTCGCGACGTTCGCCGTCGTCCTTCTGTTCTTTCTCTTCCTGTCATAGTCTCCCCAAAGAACATCATCACCAGAATCCCCAATCATCAATAGACGCCTTCTTCTCCAGCTCTCCAGATATTATGTAAGTCATATATATGTGCATCAAAAAATACTTGTTTGTTCTGGTGGAGGAAAACAAGATCCAGAGCGTAGACCCCCTCTTCTTGTCATGAGATCGAGACAGACCAACCAAAACTTGTCTCTCATATCAGTCACCCATTGGGGTTTTTTGGGGCGTCCCGAGTAGAAAAAGAAGAAGCGACTTCCCCCAACCACAATCTCTTTCATATTGAACATGAAAAGTGTTTCCTACACACTGATCTTGCTGGGGTAAGACAGAGAGAGCAAAACATAACTTGATCATCCGATATTAACCTAGAATCAAAACCAGATGTTTCTTCTGGAACACTTTTTCATACTCTCTCGTTCTCAGATAGTACCAGACAACCAAAAACTCGAAAAAGAGAGTGAAGAAATCTCCTAAACGGGAGGGGTAAATCTCATTTTGAACCACATACACACATCATCGCATCTAACCCGCCACGGTCATTCTATCGTTATAGAGAAGAAGAAGAGAGCATAGAATGAGCAACACAGAGATTTCAAATTGTACGAACTTTGAGATGAAAATACTCTTGGAGTTACTATTTTGAGAGTGACTTGGGATATGAATCTCAAAAAGTAATAAAATTCCAATAGACTGAAAAGTGCTCCAAAGATTAAAGGCTCCGCACAAATTCGAAACGAGTCAGTTGCTGTTTCTGATACAACACATTCTGAAAATCGAAAAAATCGAGAATTTTTCTTCTTTCGAGTACATCAAATTTTGGGGTTTTTTCGATTTTCAGAATGTGTTCTATCAGAAAAAGCATATTTAAAACCACCAAAATTGTTTTCGTAGTTTGAAACTTATCCATCGCCTGCATTACCACGGTTTCAAAATGCCTGGTTTCGAATTGACGGGGAGCCAAAAAATACCCAAACCTGTAATAGAAGGGGCCCCCACACTGTCAAGTTTGAGATAATTTTTCTTGGATTCTATGCAAGATATCAAAAATGTGTTAACTGATAAGATGTTGGTGTTATCATCTTAAACATTTTATCCGTTGACATTTTAACCGTTTCTATATCTTTGACAAAAACTAAGAAATATTGGCTCAAAGTTAAAATTTAAGGAGCCCTTGTATTACAGGTTTTACGGTAATAGTAAGGGTACTTTTTTTCAGAATTTTTGGAATTCCAAACTCTGAATCCTCTTCTATTTTCAAAAGTCTGACTCACTTAAAACCAAAAACCCATCGACCTAAAGCACTCTGATTTCAAAAAAGTTCTCTCTCCTTGAATTCCTAATGGACTTGAACTACCCACTTAAACCCAAGCTACTTCTGGAGACGCCAAAAAGTATCAGTCATAAATCTGGAGAGTGTCATTCTTTAGCCCACACATGCATTACTTTAATTAGGCGGCCCCAAAATCACTCAGTGCCTTAAAATCGCACCCAGAAGAACCCATTAGAGCAACTTTTTTTGAGTGTTTTGCCCCTCTCGTTCTGTTTTTATTTCTTTAGAAAGTGAGTCTTTCTTTTTGAAAAATTCTCTCTCTCTCTCTTCTTGAATTTTTCCAATTCTTCTTGAGTTTCGAAGAGGACCGCCTCGGGGGACCCGAAGACAGGGACAAAACTGAATATGAATTCAGAAGAAGGAGAAGAAGACGTCGGAGTAAGAGTAGAAGAGTGCGACGGACACATTTTTTTACTTAAATTTTTAGTGGGGTAGGGGGAAATGTGTACTCCATTTATTAAAATTTTGGCATACTGAAGAAGAGGGGAATCGAGGTAAGAAACATTCATCTTCAAGCACGTTATCCAAATGAAAAAATTGGGACGAAAGAGAATTTAAACTTTTAAAAGGAAGAAGAAGAAGACGAAATTCGAAACGTCACTATGACATCAGAAGTCTAATTAGGTCAAAGATATTTCAAGAAACTTCAGAATTTTCAGGATCTCCAATCCCCGAATCCATTCCACGTCGCCGCCGTAGTACCAATGCTGCTTTCAAACAAACTTACCAAAAAAAGATACAAAGGTGTCTTCTTGGACTGTCACCATTCTCCTTCGAGGTGAGGTTTTGGGAATTGTAGGCGTGGCGGGCTGAAATCAAACAATATTAATACCGTAATCCCTCAACTCCCTCGCAAAAATGCTTACTTTTTCTTCGCATTGTTCTTCCTAGAACCGTGCAATTGTGCTAAAAGCGCTTTTTCTTCCTCCATCTCAATTCTCCGATGCTGTCCCAGCGTCAATCGTTTCATATCGGCTCGTTCCTCCTCTTCACGAGCCTTCTCCTCCTTCCAACGACGTTGCAATTCGCCATCGTCAATGTTGACAGTCTTCAGCGCCGGTTTATTCGCCTTTCCACGTACCATAAGAGTGACGCGACCCTGTTTCTGACGTCCAGAAGCTGCGACGCCGGTGGAAGACGATGGCTCATCGTCAAAGTCCATTTCAGAAGATCGAGATGGCGATGACCTGGCTTTCGTATCCTCGGCTGAAAACAAACATTGTTTGAACACCTACTATACTTTTCAACAATTTTTCAATCTCTGTGCTACACAATTCTCATTTAAAATGCAACCTTTCTGTCCGTTTTCTTCCACTTCTCGCCCATACGAAATCATCACTCAAAAACCCAATTGGGGGACATGGGGATGTCTCCTTTGGCGCGGGAAATTTGAATCTACATATCTCAACAGACTTCTCTTCAGAATTCTATGGGGTTGACAACTTAGCAAAAAGAGGGCACATTTTTCGTTTTTCCATAGGAAAAAGAAGAAGTCGCGAACGAAATTCAATAAACGTCGGCTTCTTCTTCTTCTTCTTCTAGCCAACAACGTCTTCTTTTTCTGCTTCTTTAGAAGAACCAGGAGAGAAATAGGAGAGTCAACTTGGGTTGTTGTCCGGGTCGAGCCGGTCGGTCGGAGGCCACACAGGCTATTGTGCCCCTTATTCTTTTTTTACTGGCCTTACTCAAAAAAATGTTTCGTGAGAGCCGGAAAAAGAAGAGGGAAAGGTGTGCTTGTAACAAAAAAGGGATCAGCCAACCAGATTGAAACCGAACACCAATTAGGTTATAGTGTTCAGGGCTTTGTTTACTATTGAGTCGTGTGTTCTAGTATTTCAGATCTCCATTTTTATCTCCATCATAAAACTGCAAGTGTTGTTTTTACACCCATACACCTGATGTTTCCCTGTCTCGTTGTCGGGAAAAAAGAAGAAGAGAAGAGGACATTTCGTGTCGAAAAACGACCGCAGAAGAAACAATGTGTCAAGGGGTGGCGGAAAATTTGTGATTGAAATTCGAGACGAACATGATGTTGCTGGATGATGGTGATGTCCTGATCATAATGACAAGGAGGAGACAAATGGGATTGTTGCACTCAGGAGGAGGATGTATAGGAAATAACATAGGGGAGATTCCAGACTCTGGAATCCAGATTGAGAAAACTGAACATGGAAGGTTTTTCAGAAAAGTCCCATCTGAGGAATTAAGTCTAGAGGGCTAGTTTATAATTCTAATCTTGATTCTTCCAACCACAGATTCTAGAAGCTTCCAGGAAACCGAAGAAGACGACATTTGATAATTCGAAATCAGCCATAGAGACTTGAACTAGAGATCTTGGTTCTTAAAAATTCTATATCCTAGAGAACTTAGATCCCAAATCCTGGATCCTAACTTCTACAAATTCTCCTAAATCTAGCTCCTAGATCTTAGATCCTAGAGATCCTTTGATAACATAACCGTAATCAGAAAATTGCGCTACAGTACTCAATGCCTACCTGAATACCGATACGGTTTTATATTTCCTAAAACCCAGATCGACATATTTTCCTGAACCCAACTATTTTTATGTCCCTGGTTCAACGAAAACTGCCGTTCACCTTCCCAGTGTCTCAACGTTTTAGTAGTCGTTGTTGAACTAAATCCGATTATTGTTGTTTTTGTTTTCTAGCGGGAGCGACGTTCCGAACTCTGCTGCTACCAAAACCAAAATCAATCAAGCCTCCCCGCCGCTCTCTTTCGCCCCCAATATTCTCCGTGGCGTTAATCAAATTCGCCTTTGTCGTTGTGTCGTTGCAGCGCCACAATTCCAGGGGTGAGAACATATACACGGCTTTTTTGGTATAGTGTTTCTGGGATAGGGATTGTTGTGTCATCAAAAAAAAAAAAAAAAAAAATATATATATATATATATATATATAGTCCTCCTCTTTCATTCTCAATTGAAAATGTGAGAAGATGCAGGTGTGACGAAATTCGAGATGTTCTTCGGGTGGGGACCACACTTACTTTCTTTCAATGATATTCGAGAAGGTGCGTGTAAGTGAGAAAAAAGTGAGAGGCTATTATACTAGGAGGGAGTAATAGCAAAGAGAATTGTGTTACGAATTTTCGATGATCTATGGAAGGAGACGGGGATTCAGATATGACTTACCGAACTTGATGTTTCTCGAGAATCGGTTCTTGGCCGCAGCCGGAAGAGTCACATCATATTGGACGGCAGCAGCAGGTGCCTGGAACTATTAGGGTGTAAAAATAAGCAATTGGGAGCTAGTCAACGTAGAACCTGTATTAGAAGGGCCCCCAAATGTGAACTTTGAGCAACTTTTTCTCGATTCCTGTGGGGGCACTCCTATTACAGGTTTTACGGTATAACACATACCGCCGACTGTCTAAAACCTTCTCCCATCATTCTGTCGAGTTCTCGCTGAAAATCGTCATCCTCCTCTTTTGTAACCGCATTGCTCATCGACAGTCCGCGTTGTCGTTCCTCATCAGAATCCTCGAATTCTTGCTCCCCTTCAGAATATCTGAAATAAAAATTGTTTGCCAAAAACTGTAACTCTTCAATTTTCAGAATCGTCTCATCTCCACCATACTTTCCGTCTCTCTTCAACACATCAAACTGATTTGAACCAAATGTTTCAATTTTCGAAATTAGAAGAGCATCGATTGAAAGAACCTTGATTTTTATGTGATATTTTCATGCCCATTCTATATTATGTAACACTGTGGTCAGTGAATGAATTTTTTTGAATTTGAAACTGATAAACAAACTTATTATCATCATCTTCATCTTCATCATCCTCTTCAATCACATTCAAATCCTTCATTCCTCCATCGTCAATATCACTGTGCTCTCCAGCAACCTCTTTCAGATCTCCTTTGAATTTCTTCTCAACCTTGGCAACTGCATCTTGAGCTTCTTTCAGATTCTTTGGCCAACGATTCGGAATATTTTTCTTTTTTCCACGGAATTTCCGACACATTTCAGAGTAGGCTATCTCCACTTCATATGGGAAACTTGTCTCCATGTCTGGCACAGTTTCATTATTATCTCCACCATCAGAATTCGGTTGCTTATCCTGAGTTTCCAGGTCCCAAGCTTCTTTTTTCGTGAAATAATAGCGGTGGAAGTAGGCCATGAAATAGCGCAATTTCAGACGTCCTGGTCCTTTTTGAATGAATTCTCGAACGATTTCGAGCACAGCGCAAATCATTCTGATTCGGTGAAGATCTTTCCACGAGTTTTCTGGTTCTGGATAGGAAATCAGTTGGTACAAAATCTGTATTATCAAATCCTCATCACACAACTCGAAACTGTACAACTCGGCAAGATAAACTGCCGCCGAGTGAGCCCATTGGTTGAAATTTCCAGGATTTTCTAGAGAGATTCTGATAGTTTGAATTGTCGAATCAATGACAGCCATTCCGATCCATTGGAGATGTTGAAGATTGCAAAGGCCAGCAATCGCCGATGCTAAGTGTTGAAGATTCTCAATTGGAAGGAGCCACGTGGATGAGAGGTATCTGATTGTGTAATCGGATATTTCAGGATCACTCCAGTCCAATCTACGAAGGCATTTCAGGTGGTTGTCCACATTAGTGTCATTGATATCAAGAACCACGTGTCGGATGAATTTCTTCATTGGTGTATCCTCTTCGTCAAACTTCAAACGGAGGCGTTCTTCTTTCGAATCCTCTGGTGGCAGACATGTGAAGTAGGCGTTGTCGATAAGCATCTGAAATCAAGTCTTTGCTTTATCTAGAATGTCAGCTAGCTCACCGCCTGTCTTTGATCCTTCATTCTCTCTCTTTTCGCCTTGACCACTTCCAACAGCCTCTTCATTTTCGCATGCGATTCGGTGTGACGATACAGATAGAGACCTCCCGATTCCATAAACGTAGCAGTCATTTCGACGGAATGACCACGAAGATCATAGACAAGTTGTCTCAAACAACTGAGTCCTTCTGGTCGGGAAATTACTCCGAACTTCATTAATTCGGCAATCATCATTACACAAACCATTTTAGCTTCAACTTTGATTGCGATCGCTGAAGATGACGATGGTTTTTGCTGAAGGAATCCTCGGAATTTATCGAGCAGTTGTGTCACGATTTCTGTCGTCAAATCCGGCATCACATTTTCCAGCGTGGCAATGAGACGAGCATAAAATGGAACGACGTCTATCCGAGTGGGTGGTGGCTCGACCATCAGTTTGACGAGTCGCTTACGGCATCCTTTATTGTTCAAATTGGATACAAAATACTCGGCGGCCTTGTCAGTTGAGTATTTGCTAACAAGATGGTCCAAATCCAGCACGAACTTCTGCCACTTGTTCACACCTCGGTCTTCAGAAATGTCTTCCTTTGTCGGAACAGCTGCTTCCGATTCTTCCGGAGTGCTCTCCTTTTCAGAATTAGCTCGTGACATCGTTCGTTTCGCATCAACAGCTCCCGACTCGTTGATATTCTCTACATCGATATCTTCGATTCGTTCAGCCATTTTTGCTTTGCTAAGCGTCCGCTGCTCTGATTCTTTGTAAAGATCCTTGGGAACCATCAGACGCAGATCTATGAGATCTGCGTAGAACGCTTTTGTCTCCTCATCACTCCACAACTTGATAGCTCCTTCAGCCAATTGTCGCCCCATTTCCAGGTTGGCAGCTTCGTCCTCCTCATCGTCACTTGCTTCCTCTTTCAACGGCTTCATGGTAATACCAATCGCACACGACAGTTCATTAGTCATCTTTCTTAACGTATCTAACTCGGCTTGGAGTTCATTGAACTTCGCCTTTTCCTCATCAGCCGCATCTCCTCGACTTCTCTCCTGACGCTTCACTTTTTTCATTGCCTTGTTTCGCGCGGAGCATATCTTTTCGGTTTTTGCGTATAGAACATCGTAGTAAACCTTAAAAAGTTCTCGTATCGATTTCTTTTGATCTCCAGAAAGCGCTGATGATGTTGGAAGATCAGTTTCCTCAATTTTAACTGTTTCATTGTCATCTCCCAAAGGAATCGGAATGATATTTGCAATCTGCCAACCCACACATCGTGAAACTGTCGCCAATAATCCATAATTGACGAAATCAATTTTATCAGTTTGAATGAGATAAGTGAGCACGGCGCCGAGAACTTGAAGTCCTTCCTTTTCATTGAAAACTCCACACAGACAAAGTTCAGCGAGGAAACTGGAAAACGAAGCATAAGGGAGAGCTAGAAGAAGGAAAATCTCACATTATATCCACTCTCAATTTTGCAACATTCGTAATTTTGTCAGTTTTCTTGACGGGAAGAATCTTCTTGAATTCGCCGGCCATTTGTTCGCTAAAATTCGAATACATGGCTGAAACGGCAAGACACAATTCGGTCACTTTTGGGATGTCCGATATTTTTAGCTTCGTTTCGATGATACCCTAAAATTTATAGTTTCGGAGAAATTTTCCATTTTCAGCCATACCGAAGCGATTTCTTCCACGAATTTGCTCAAATTCAATTTCGAAAGCTCTTCGATAAGCTGTGGTACGGTTGCAGCACTTAACAATTTGATCTTCTTCATGAAGCTAGTCGTTTTCTTGAGAGCAGAATCCAAACTTCTCAATTCTTTCTCATTGTCTAGAAAATTTTCTCTAACTTCGACCATTTTCAAACGAGACGTTTCTTGGAATTCCACCCTTTTTTGCAGTTCTTCCAACCATGACTTTTCTACTGTATAAGGCATCTGTAATTGGATAATTGAGCTATGAAGTAATTGGAAAAAGAAATAGGTATGCATTCACAACATTTTTCTGTGATATAAAATACATTTCTATGAATATAATTATTCATTTTTCTATTCAATTTAATTTAAATAAAGAAGCAGATCAGCATATATTAACAGTAGAAGGCGAGCCACGAGATTGATTTGAAATTGAAGAGGAAGAAAAAAACGAAAAAGAGAAGAGGTTTAGTGAAGATAGGAGCAAGATCAGGGGTTTGAAATTTTGATATAGGTGGGAATATATTTTTGAAACAATAAATGCCGCAAAACGAATCTGTGAACGAGACCTCTATGAGAGTAAAACATAAATGACAAACAGTATTTAGAATCTCATGACAGTTGTATGCTTGTTGGCTGCCTAATTTATAAAATACGAAGAATATCGATTAAAAAAGAAGAAGGGAAAGAACAGGGATTTTGGCAGGACTGGTAATAAATGAATTATAAAAAACCAAGTGGCACGACGAGGAATTGGTTAATATCCTCCCCTACGGTCTCCAGCTCCGGCACCGGATCCCCATCCATAGGAACTTTGTTGTTGATGTTGTGCCCAAGGTGACTGTGTATCCCTTGATTCTCTGTGACGATCATATCCCGCAGCAGCTGGTTGAGCTCCATAAGCTGAGGATGCAGTTGATGAATATCCAGATTGAGTAGAACCCGCTGCTCCATAACCATAACCATCCCACGCACCGTATCCTGTTGCCGCAGTGCTGCTTTGTTCGTATGACGCTCCATAAGCTCCCCATGGATCTGGAGCTCTTCCGTGTGCTGGCGCTGGGGCTCTGACATGTGCTTGTTCTCGATGTTCGTAACCCCGAGGAGCACGTGGACCGTATGGATCTCGTGCATCTCTCGTATCTCTTGATTCCCGATGCGATGGTGGCATCGCTTGTGGGCCGGCACGGTAGACTGGTTCTCGTTGTGGAGCTGCGCCGCGTCGACCTCCGTTTAATATTGGGTCAAGGGCTGGTGCAGCTAACACGTTTGGACCAGATGTTTCTTTCCAGAGAAGACGTCGCATTGGTCCAGGGGCTCCACGAGTGTCAAATAGTTCGACATATCTATAAAAATAAGAATCAGTTCTAACTCGCTTATGTGTTTTACCAACCTTCTTCCCATTCTCTGATTGTTTCTGGCTAATCCTGACTGCAAGTCTTGGTAGCTATCAAACTCGGCAATCGCATCTCCCGAAGACCGTCCAGCTTCATTTATACCAAGCTTGATAGAGTGAACTCTGAGTGGTGAAAAGAATGCTTCGATGGCATGGTGATCAGCATCATAGGGTAGACCGCGCATATAGATTCTCAATGGACCCTCGTGGTGATGGCCACCTCCGTTTCCATAACTATCTCCATAGCTTCCTTGATCATAGGAACTGTATCCGTAGTCGTGGTGTCCTCCCGTACCATAGGCACCCGAACTGTAATCGTCATAGGCTCCATAACCGTATCCGGCGCCGCCGCCGCCACCTCTTGTTTGATTGTATCCAGCATCTGAACGATCGAGAGACATCAGTGGACGAATCCCTGTTCGTTCATATGACCCAGCGGAACCTATAAAAACAACTCAATAGATTTCATTAGAGAAAATGCCCACCTCCTCCTCCTTTGGCACGATTCAACTCAACCATACTCGACATGAAGACCTCGACGTATCTGAAAATGATTAAACTTTTTTTTATTGATCGAACCATCGAAACCAAAGCAGTTAACTTCCAACCAGCGGCAAATACGCGACACTATACATCCGCAATAATACCCACCTCGTTCCCATATGCATGTTATTGTACTCCATCGCTTTTTAGCCGCTGCTTGCGACGTAAATCGAACGAACGCCTCCCCAGATGGTCGCGGTCTCGGCCCAGACGTCCCACCAATTACAATTTCCGCCGGTGGTGGTTCTAGCCCTGCATGGAATAAGGAAACCCATAGTAAGATCTAATCATGGATTGGGAGGGGGTGTTTAAAGCTCAAATTGATGCCCAAGGCGTACGGTAAAATCTGTTTGAAATGTTAAATCACAAACCTTGGAAGAATTGTTTCACATCTTCTTCTTTGCATGACCATGGAACTCCTCTCAATCGCACAACATGGTTTTCTTCGCCGTTTCCATCGGCATCCGGACGGAATTCATTCTCGCCTTCCGAAATGGGAACAGAGAATACTAAAGCTGGTTTTGAAGGTTTGTTTGTTAATATTTTAAAAACTTACTCTCTATATAGCGATTGCTCATCTCCTTTCTGTCACACTCCATTCCTCTCCCAGCATCATCCGTGCTCGCAAACTCAACATAAGCTTCTCCATTGGGACGTCCGGTAGTGCAAACGAACTTCACTCGTTTGACAATCAAACCAGTGAAAAACTCATGAATATCTTTCTCCGTGGCGTTGAATGGAAGACCGCGAAGTCGAACAAATTGGCTTTTGAGTGAAGCACCAGATATTCTGTTCGGAATTGTATAGTTATTTTCAACTGATTGCTGTGCGTTTTCTTGTTGAGGCTCTGGATGTTCAGCTTGAGTTTCCGCTGAAAAATGTTATCGGCTATTCTATTTTTTTTTCTAAAAACGAAAGGCTTACCTTTCACTTCAGCCTCTGATTTGGCTTCGGGTTGTCCAACTTCCAAAGAAGCCTGACCAGCTTGAGTGGTATCTGCTGCAGGTTGTACAGTTTCTTCCGACATTCTGAAGAAACCTGAATAGTTAGGAATTTATCGATTGTAGAAAAAGGGAAGCCGCAAAAAAGTTTAGCAACATGCTAGGCAACAATTTAAATCAAATCAAACGACGTTCTAGTGAGAAAAACAATTGAAATTCAGACAAAAACAACAATTATTGGAAGATAAATTTATTTGAAAAATACCTGAGTCCATTGGAGCGCGCTAGCAATGCTCACACCAAGCACCCGATCTGACGACATATTGCGGGCGCAATCCACCATAAATCGTTTTTTTTCTGAAAAAAAAAGAAATCTAGACAAAAGATTTATGTTGTCGTTGGAAAAGAAAGCAAATGTCTAAAAATTAATGTAAACTGATAACACAGAAAGCCTAGAAAAACTGCATATCCTTTCATTTTTTGTTAGGTTTTGCATTTACGGCGCGTTGATTGGGATCGAATAACTAGCATAGGTGTATCGGATGTTAGGAAAACTGTTGAAAAACTGGGCATTATAAAAGCGAATCGGAGAGATACGAAAATCGTCGGCTTCAGAAATGGAGGTAGAGACTCGCGTCAAAGCCTATCGATTCGTGGCCTATGCCGCCGTTACATTCAGTGTTGTTGCAGTTCTCTCAGTGAGTTTTAGGCCTGAGATTTTCCTCTGCACTAATATTAGAAACTTTCAAAAAACCATTCATACAGGTCTGCATCACACTTCCAATGGTCTACAACTACGTGTCTCACGTGAAGAAGTCCATTCATCACGAGATCCGTTACTGCAAAGGATCCGCCAAGGACATCCTCACCGAGGTCTCTTCGATCCGCTCGAACCGTACGGCCCGTCAAGCTTCCTATGGAGATTCTGGTGTAGCTGGATCGGCTGCCGCCGGAGGATCCTGCTCCGGATGCTGTCTTCCTGGACCAGCCGGTCCAGTCGGAACACCCGGAAAGCCAGGTCGCCCAGGAAAGCCAGGAGTCGCAGGACTTCCAGGAAATCCAGGACGCCCACCACAGGCCCCATGTGAGCCAATCACCCCACCACCATGCAAACCATGCCCACAGGGACCACCGGGAGTTCAAGGACCACCAGGACCACCAGGAGATGCTGGACTTGATGGACAACCAGGAGGACCAGGACAAGACGGACAACCAGGACAGCCAGGGCCAAAGGGACCACCAGGACCAAACGGACAACCAGGAGCCCCAGGACAAGATGGAAACCCAGGACAAGACGCTCCATCTGAGCCATTGGTTCCGGGAGAGCCAGGAGCACCAGGAGAGCCAGGACCACAAGGACCACCAGGACAAGCTGGAACTCCAGGACAGAATGGACAACCAGGACAACCGGGACCAAAGGGACCACCAGGTCAACCAGGTCAACCAGGATCCGACGGAAATCCAGGACCAGCTGGACAAGCTGGAGAGGCAGGAAGTGCTGGAGAGAAGGGAATCTGTCCAAAGTACTGCGCCATCGATGGAGGAATTTTCTTCGAGGACGGAACCCGAAGATAAACAACTGATAATGTGAAACGTTTTTTTGTATATCTGTTTTTTGTCCAATTTTTTTTCTGTTTGCAAATGGAATGAAGCGAAGTGTTGTACATTTTTCTTTTTTGATTGTATCTAAAAAATATGGACTCACATCTAATAAATAAATAGTATTTATATCGACAGGCAGAATGAGAGAAAGAAACTGCACATAAGATTAGTCTAATTCAAATTCCTCAAAAAAAAAGAAAGTATTACTGAATGAAAGGGAATTAAACGAAAGACAACTGCTCCAAAGAAGTAGTGAATGTCATTCGAGAGGCTCCAGTGAAAAAGATTCACCGCGAAATTAAAAAAAAATGTATGGGGCGATGAAGAGCGATATGGAAGTTTTCCGGAAAAGAAATCATTAAAAAAAATAATACAGTGTAATTTTAAAAAATCTACTCAGAAATCTGTTCGTTGATTGGAAGGGGGTGCGAGGCAAACCGAGAAAAATGAAGAGAGATTTGAAATTTTTTCCAAAATTGTTTTAATTAGAATTAGAAGACATTCAGAGAAACCCGCAAATGGAATGAGAAGGGAAAAACAAGGAGATGAGAAAGAAAAAGATTATAATTGAGAGACACAAATTTTGTCGTTATTTCGATGATCATTTTGATTTTGTTCCACGTCTTCAGGCTTTGGTAGTTCACAGATCTGAAAAAAAAACGTTGGATTACTGTAGTTATCGTAAATGATTACAGGTGGTGCACAATTACCGTAGAAACTCTAATAGAACGGTATCCAAGCAGTCAACTTTGAGCTTATTTATCTGGGTTCTTGTAAAAATATTTAAAAAGTGGTGAACTAACAAAATGTTTATTCTAATATCAGTAACATTTTGTTAGTGGACCACTTTTTGATGTCTTTTACAGAAACTGAAATACCGCATTTCCTCTAATAGAGGCCCATGGGCTTCTATTTTTCAACCTCCTTCTGTGGGTCAACTAATTTTTTTTAACGTTCAAATTGGAGGGTTTTCGGTGTTTAACTGAAGTGGAATAGTAATAAAACGACAAGAGTAAACGGAAATTACCAGAAACATGGACAAAAAAGAGTATGTCTGCCCTAACCGAAAAGAAAAATGCACAGCTAGGGTGGGCTTATATAAGAGGGAATACGGTATATAGGCTCAAAGTTGATAGTTTGGGTGGCATTCTATTAGAGTGTTTACGGTTTCTGATAAAAATGGGTATATCTTTAGACGTAAGTCTCTTGGAAGCACGAAAGTTGATAGAAATATAACTTAACATTGGACTCAAATCTACTGAAATTTTAAAAGCGATTCCTCAAGTCTAGGTATTGTTATGATTGTCCAAAGTTGAACGGCATAATGCCTTGTGATTTTCATGTGATGAAGCAACTTTGACAAGCGATAACTCAGCTCAAAATTGATCAAACAAGTTGAAACTTGGACAGTTTTCTGTTGAATTATTGTGATTTTTGCACTCCAAATTCGAGCACAGTACAAAGCAGTACTCAAATGTTATGCTAGTTGAAACTTGTGTCCGGGAAATTATGCGCCCCCATGAAAAATACAAATACCTGATTCAAATTTTGATTGAACGTCACTCGTGTCTCTCGATCCAACTCGTCCATTTCCTCGTTTTCTTTTGAGACACAGCATCTGAAAATCATAGTAACTTTCTTTAAAAGTCGTTCCCCCCAAGTTGGGGGCCCCAACAAAAAAAAACTCACAATCGTCGTTTACGTTTTGTCGTTCCTCTTAATGAAGCTGTTTCACTGGGTGGCGGTGTATTCCTTCCTCCTTCGAACATCACTTCTGATTCTACGAATTCTCGTTCTGTTGCCTTCTCAAGACATTGTAGCAGGTGGTGATGTTGAATTTCAAAGATATCCTCGTCACGAAGAGCATCGAATGAGAGTTGGCCTGGAAATTAGTTTTGATTCGAAAAATGTCTGGTTCCTATAAGAAATTTAGTTACCGTAAGACATGCAATAGAAGGGTTTCTTATTTTTAACTAATTTTTCTCGGACCCAGTTTTGATATCTCTCAAAGGAACCGAGATAATGGATCTTAAAGTTGGCTGGGCTTCTATTAGAGCGAATACGGTAATCTTTAATAATGTGTGTCTACTGACTTTAAGTCGAATCAACAAAGTTACGAATTCTAACTTACCCTGCTCGAACGCTTGCATTCTCGCTTCATGAGCTTTCTTCTTGTTGAAGAGCGCCTGTCCCGAGGCGTTTTTGACGATTCGAATTCTGGCGAGACGAGCTTTCTGTAAATGACTTTTTTCCAAACACTCTCTTCTCTGCTTCCATACCTTCTGTGCCCGTCGCTTATCAGCTCGTTGATTCTGATGATAAATTCGTGAGAAGTTGCTAACGATAACGGGAACCGGTAGAGCGATTACCAACACTCCGGAAAGTGAACAGATTCCTCCCACTATTTTACCCATTATCGTTGAAGGCACCATATCTCCGTAACCCAGTGTTGTAAGCTGAAAAATATTACTGTTTTTCGGAATTTGTCCCCAACAGTTGACAGGCTACTACTGCATTTGGTCTAAAAGAATGTCGTCTATAACTTTAAACTCGGAGCCAATTTATCTCGGTTGCTGTGAAAGATATCAAAAGTTTATCAACTAGTAAAATGTGTATCATAATATCACCAACATTTTATCAGTTTACGGAGTTTTGATATCTCTCAAAGCAACAGAGATAAATGAGCATGAAGTGGACGGTTCGGGTAAGCGTCTATTAGAGCAATATCGATAGCTTCACATTTTTCAAAAAAAAAACTCACCGTAACAATAGTGTACCAGAAAGCTGATGGAATTGATGTGAACCGTGTAGCTTCGACTTTCTTCTCTGCATAATACATGATTGTTGCAAATATGATAATCGCCATTGCCAAGGAGAAAACCAGGAATCCCAGTTCACTGGCACACGACTTCAAAGTGTATCCCAGAATTCGAAGACCTTGTGAGTGACGAGAGAATTTGAATATTCGGAAGACACGCTGAAAATTTCAGAGATTTCGAAGGGTTGTGTTATTCTAACTAATGAAGTCCAGAAGCTTCTGTCTCTTCTTGATGCTAAAAGAAGTTATTGCCTTCGATACCAAATTGAAGATTTTCATAACTTGTATGAAACAGAGATTTTTGACTCAAATTTAAAATCAAATATTTTTTTTCTCAGTATTTTGCTTAAGATCCCAATCGACTTCGTTAATATATTTAATAATGTTTGGAGAATGGTTTTTGTTTCATCTGTAACATGAAATACCGTAAACACTAAAAGAATCCCCCAACCCGTTAACGAGTTCATATATCTCATTTCCTGTGAAATGTATCAAATAGTGGCCCACTGAAAAAATGTTAATCATGATTCTAAAAATATTTTGTTTGCTGGTTACTTTTTGATATCTTTCACAGGAACTGATATAAATCGGCTCAAACTTGAGCGTAAATGGGGGGCATTGTTTCAGGTTTTACAGTGGGTTTACTGATATTACTTGTTAAGCAATACCTAACAGTTTGTTTCATAATGTTTTTAGAATAGTCCACAGAACCAATCCTAAATAACATTCAGAAAAAAAACTTACAAAAACTCTCAACGTCACAAACAATCCGGATACATCCTTGTTGTCAGTGAGTCCTAAACTGACGTAGTATGGCATGATCGCAATGACATCGATCACACTCATTATTGATCTGGAAACAGGAAGCATTTTAAAACAGACACTTCAAACAGAATACTCACCTCATGAATTTACATCGATCAGGAGCAGCAAACAACCGTAAAAAGTACTCAATCGTAAAAATGATCACACAAGCCGTATCAACGACGAAGAATTGTTCTTCGTAGGCTTCTCCACAAGTAACCGCCATATTATCTTGATACCAGCATGGAATGGTTTCTACTATATTACAAAGCACCGAGACGGCAATAAAAAATCCGGTGACATAATAAAATACAAGTGCTATTGATGAGGTGTGAGGATTCTCGAATGCTGCCCACATTTTTTGTTGGAGGGATAGTTTTGCTGTGTTGGCTTCTGCTGTTTCCACTCGTTCTTCCATTAACCTCTCCTGGTTTTCTCGTTTCTTATCTTTGTAGTCTTCATAGCAACAATCTGATATCAGATCTGGCATGATTCCAAAGAAACTCAGCTCCTCGTCGTAGGCAACAAGACATTCGTGGCGAGGGTACTGAAATTTTGATACACAGCGTGATCCGTGTCTACTAGTTTTATTTAGATTCAAAACTGTATGATAACTTGTTGAAAAAGTGAATGTTATATTGAATTAAATTCACATTAAAAAGATATACTGCTTCAAAAAGTAGATTTCACAGGTTAGATTTTTGAAAAAACTTAATTTACGTCCTATATTATTGTAAAGCATTAGCTATTTAGCTTTGGAAAATGCATATAAATGCTCTGGAAGAAGGGCACTCTGACTTCAGGTTTATCAGATTATCTCGGCGCCTTCTAAAAATATCAAAAATTTGTAAACTGAGAAAATATTGGTGAGATTATGATAAATAATTTATCAGTTTAAAGTTTTTTGATAGCTTTTAAAGGAACCGAGATCATTGGGCTCAAAGTGAAAGTACTCAAAGGCTCTTTAAATTCTAATTTTGAGGCCATATATCTCATTTCCTGTTGAAGATATGAAAAAGTTGTTGTTTATCAGAATATCGCCAACATTTTACCAGTTGACAGTTTTTTGATTTCTGAGAGGAACCGAGATAATTGAGCTCAAAGTGTACGTATGAGATGGGCTTCTATGAGCATTTACAATGTAAAAGTTATCCAAAGAACAAACGCATACAAGATTTACTGTTTCAAAACCACCATAAAATGTTTTTTTTATTGTCTTATTATTAATCCAGCACAGATTATTACACTGAAACATTTCAAACGTAAAAAACTCACATGTAGCTTTCCCGTTCGATAAAACGTCAGAATGTGCCTAAAGATGTCTGGATCACGATCAAAGAAGTACTCTCCGGTGTCTTCATCATAGAAGAACTCTTTCTCGTTTGATCCCAAAAGTGTTTCCGGAAACTTTTCCAATGTGTTCTTCCACGTTTCAAACCGTCTTCCGGATATGTTGATCGCCAGTTTCTCATCGGATACATGATCCACGGCGAGATCTTTGGCCTGAAAAAAGTAACTGATAAATCTACAATCAAAGCTTTTCTAGTTTTTGCAAACTCTCGATAACTTGTTCTGATAAATCTACAATCAGTTTTTGCAAACTCTAGCCTCTCATCGTTGATCAGGAATTCCCCAAAGTACCTGGAACTACAAAAGAGGATCTAATCTCTCATTGCATATGACACTCGTATCACATTTCAACCCGTCTTTTTCCCTCTGAAAAGAGACATCGACCACCTAACGAGCACGTGTGAACAACAACAAGAAGTCATCTCTTGATGTATGAACAGTTGCCAAATAATTATTAATTGTGAGAGAATATTTAGGGGCTAATTAGTGAGCAAGAGTACAAAAAATATTATGTTTCAATTACTATGTAAGATGTTGGTCTCTAATAACTTTTCGTTCCGTTACCCATCCGTATTACTTCTACTTGAAGGTCTTCTGAGCTATTGATCTAAAATTCCAAAAAAGATACCTGTATTGCAACTGGGGCCTGTGGCATGGGCTGTCTCGAGATGGGAACCCACCCGATTGCGGCGGCTCTCGCGAACGGCAGCCACGCCGCCACCGAAGCCATTCTGAACTTGACGACGGCGTCGGACTTCTGATGGTTTTCTTTTCTACTTCAGGGTTATTTGCGTAATTGTGTATCTTGTGGAGAGATCTGAAAAAAGTAGATTTATTCAGAGAGTCACAGTAACGAATGAGGAAAGTAAGAAGGTACAGTTGTAAAGAGACAGAAACAGAAAATATGTGCTGACAAATCAAAGTTCCTAGCAACTACTTTCTACAAGATACAGTATCTCTCAAAATGCTACAACTGGCTCATGAACATTTTGTGGACCCGACTGAGTGAAGTCGTCAGTAGTAACAAAAAGTACAACATGGCACTTTCTTTTTCAAAAGCCAACTTTAAACTTTGCCACTTTTTTTGCAAAAAAAAAACAAAAAGGTTTTCCTCTCTGATGGTTTCTTTGGGTACCCCCTTCTTCTTGATGACGACGACGTGAACTGCTCAAATTACCCGTAAACGACGACGTCGGTCGGTTGGTCGGTTGAAGAAGAAGAAAGCGAAGCAAGAAGCCGTGGGACACAAACGGGGATGAGTTGAAAAAAAATGGAGAAAAGGAAAAGGGAAGAAGTGTTACATTTCCAATTTCACACTTTTCTCTTTTCCTTCTTCAATTTTATCCAATTTTGTGTAAAGAGGCCCTAAAGGCTCGCAGCGCCACGGGGCCCTCCTTGAGTCTTCGGATATATAGAAGAAAGAAGAAAAACGATAGACAAAATTGGATAGCAAAAAGTCGTCGTCTCCTTCGCGAAGACGTACGGGAGCGACGTCTTCAGAAGGCACGGAGAAGGAGAGGAGATGGAGAAAATGAAACTCGATATTCAATTTTTGCGAGAGGAGATGACTTGCTCTCCTCGATTTTTTGTGCTTATTTCAGTGAGGATTTGAATTGGATAAAGAGAAAAAAAATGAGATGACGAAGGAACAAGAAGTAAGAAAGGAAATCAAGAGCAACAGAAAAGAGAGTACAGAATCAGGTCAGATATGGATTTTTATTCTAGAAGAGATTTTTCGGGATTTCAAGCTACGTAGAAGATGAAATTGAGTGTGAAAAAAAAACAGAACTTTACCAGGAATTTGAAACTGTAGTATTTAGATAGATGAAAATTGTGAGAGTCACGAAAAAGTGGTATTTAGACTTTGCTATACTATAATTTTGGAGTAGATCTAAAATTAAATTTTACACATTTTTGTAATTCAAAAATTGTTAATAGCCACAGTATTTTGTGAGATATGCGCATTTAAAATTCACCTGCGACCCCGGTAGGCGGTAGAGGAGGAGACATGGACACCAACTTTTAAGGCACACATCTCAAAAAATAAATAAAGTTACGAAAATATTAAAATTACAAAAATGTGTGAAATGTTATGTTTTCAGTTTTTACCAATTTTAAATATTATGCTTTTAAAACAAACAACAATTTTCGATATTTTGCTTCTATCAGCCCAAAACAATTCCTAATTATTAAACCATTGTTTGAACTGTTGTATATAAAACAGTTTTTAAATTTTTTTTTTAATTTATAAAAAATTCGAAATAGCAGTTTTATTTTCAAAATTTCTCTTCAATTTTCTGATTTTAAAGGGGGACTCCGATCAAAAATTTTTATTGCATTAAAATGTTCGAAAAGTTGTCTATCTTCCCAATATTATAGCGAAAAAATCCGAAATCCCCGAAAAATGCCGCTAAAAGCGAAAAATTTTCAAAAAAAGTTGCTAGGAGGGACGAGGATTTGAATTCCCGCGCAGTGAGAAACCTAGGCCACGGCGCCTGACAGCCGTTTTTTTCAGTTGGCCGACAGTGTTTTTTTACGTTTTTTACGTGCCGGACATGAAATTGAAAAAAATCCGGAAAAATTGCCACGTAGGAAAGGCGCCCGCTGCCGTGGCCTAGGTTTCTCACTGAAAATCCTCGTCCCCCGGCTGCACCTTTTTTTGAATTTTCTTCCTTTTCAACGGCGTTTTTTGGGAATTTCGGATTTTTTTTTGAATTTTTTCGCAATAATATTCGGAAAATAGATAACTTTTAACACATTTTAATGCAATAAAAATTTTTGGTCGGAGTCCCCCTTTAATAGCAATTTTTATCTAATTATTCAAACCCCAATGGGTACTTGACTAGAAACTGGAACAGTTATTATTTGGATTTTCTTTATTTTTCTTCGAAAACTCTCCAAGGAGCAAAAACGACATCTATCGTAAAAATTGGATGGCTCGATAAAACCCAACTTCTCTATACCTCTCAAAAAACAAACAACACCTAAAAAAATTCTTGAAATCTAGACCGCCAGGTATTCATAATAAACAAACTAGAAAAAAAGAAACACGGAAGGAAAAAAGCAGACAATGTTGCAGTTAATGAACGTAACAAACTTTCCCACCCAGATCCCATTTCATTAGTTTTTCTTTCTCTCCATCTCTATTCCTCTCGCATTCTTTCACACTCCGCCAGGAGTTTCAAAATGCAGAGATGTAGAAGGTCAAAATATCAGAGAACAGTCTCAAAAATTGTTATATCAAAGGTACATTTTTGAACACCGAGAGATAAACCGTAATCTTCTTAGGATTCTAGAATGCACTAAAAGATTACTGATTGGGAGACTTCATAACCTTGGGCTCGCGAGCTACGTATTTTCCTACAATAGGACCTACTATCTCGTCATGGCAAGGAAGGAACATGATCATTGATGACGATGTAGGGACCCCCAAAATAGAAGAAAAGTGGTGGTGGTGGTGTGGACATATTAAGAGAATAAGAAAAAGGAAACAGAGCTCCTCTAGAATGACTTGACTACGATTAGAAAAGACAGCGGAAGAGAGGAATGAAAAGAGAAAAACGACAAGAATCCACGACTCTCTCCATGGATAATCACCGGAAAACCGACCAGATTTGGGGCGCGAGAATCGTGAAATATATTCAGAGAGAGCTCTAGATACAAGGGGTGGGGATGACGAAAATCTGAAGTTAAGAAGCTTTCGAGGACTTTGGGATCAGGAGATGGAAGAAACGTTTCCTAATTTAATATCGCGATTACGAGAACTGAAAAATTTATAGAGTTTCAGAAACAGTGTTATTAGAAATCACTGCTAGCTCAAAATACTGGCTCTGAGCTAAAAAAAAATAATTAAAATTGATAGACATGAAAGAATTTGGAAGGATTTGAGGGTATTAATGGAACTGCGGTTCGATGAAGAAACGTCATCAAATCCTCATTTATACATAGCTTTTAGAATACGATACTTGTAGTCACATGTCAAAAAGCACGAGATATACGATACTGACGATACTGATGAGGTACAATTTCTGTTTTTAGATGATTGAGCTCAAGCGAGAAGAAAGTGATTTGTGACGATGATGGTAAACGATTTGACGGAATTTAATGAAGAATTGAAAAGGTAAAATTTTGTAACGTTTCTGGTTTCCTATTTTTCAGGACGTTCGATGGATGGACTTCGATTGAACTATTAATGAAAATGGGATATGATTTTGTGTTTTTTCTCTTCACGTCCATCAATTTATCTCGGTTCCTGTGAGATGTATTGAAAACCTGTCAACTGAAAAAAATAGATATTATCATGAATAAGCTATCAGTTGAAATTTTTCTAATACCTTCTGAAGGAACCGAGATAATTGAGCTCAAAGATAACGTATTGGGTGGGCTTCTGGCATTTACGGTTTGCGCACCCATACCTTACAATCAACCCACATGCATTTGACAAGAGGAAGTAAATTCACAAAAATGAAGTGAAACTAATGAAGTTTATCAAGACATCACCTGACTAGCCTTATATATCTTCTGTCCCGACTAATATAATCCCAAAGAACCTATTTCTATCACATCAAACTGTAACGGCAAAAATATAGCTGCGAAAAAAAAAGAAGAAAGGAAACTTGTGAGTAAAAAGCAGGTGAGAATGGGACAATCACCATGGTAACTTCTTCTGATAAGCACATTTTCAGAAGGGATGTTTTTCGAGAAAAATAACAGAAGAAGACAAAACAAATTTTTATAGTGTGAGCAAAAGAATCTCGTGATTATTATACACGACAAGAGAAGAAAAATGAGTAGATGTAATTCTCTGTTGTACTCTCTTTTTCTCTTTTTCTCTCTTTCTCCCAAACTGCTCGAAAAAGGAGAAAAACGGATTAATCAGATCAGTGGAACAATGTATACATAGATGGAATAGAAATAGTGAAGATTCAACGAAAAGAAGGATTTGTTGAGGTGATGAAATGGCGGATTTGTGGTGTTGGTGAGGGAAAAGGAGGATTATATTTATCAGGTGATTATGTGCTCTGATATTTCGGAGAAAAAAAAGTACTAGTTTTGGAATATGCTGGGGGTGTTTGGTTATATGTTTTAGGCACATATAAAGGGATTTGAGCAGATTTTGGAGGAATTGGAAGAGATGGAAATTCGGGATTGGGACAGATAGTGGATTGGTATCTATTTAAAAATTCAACCGAACATTATCACAAAATACTGGAACAGGAAAAATATTTTCTCACAACCGAAGTTTAAAAAAAATTTTAAAGGCATTTTTTTCTTGATCAGTAAAATTTTAGAATCGATAAGTCCATATTTTCGAACAACTTCAAAAAAGAAAAAAAGATGGCACATTTATATTTTCATCCATCACAAAAAATTGAACTATATCTTGCTCCTCTCGTGTTTTATTTTCTACTCCCTCCCCATTTTCAGTCAGATTTCAGACCTCCCCTTAAAAAGTGAGAGAGAAACGAGACATCGGAAGTGTCCCTCTTCTCTCATTCAATCGTATTCATTTCATTCCAAATTCCTCCCTCTATCTTCCAAAAAAAAGAAAACATCGGATGAAGGCTGCAAAAAACAAGAATATCTCCCAGCCAGTTGAGATAAGTTTGGTTTTTTTCAACTCAAAAAACTGCTCTGCATGTCACATTGAGATGAAAAAGAGCTCATCTCATTAGCAAAAATGGGCGGAATGAATAGATGTTCTCTGAGAGAAAAAAAAAGAAACTTTCG